GACGATGACTTCCTGCGGGAAGAAGAGTTTCCTGACGCAAAGCTGAAAAGGGAGGCTTGGCTTGGCTAGGCTTGGTGTTTAGGAGTTTAGCGGTTTGGGGCCAAGGGCCTAATTAGAGGGTGTATCCTTTCAGGGTTCCCACGTCTGCAAGGGAAATCCAGGGAACAGGTCCTCATGCAACCAGCTTGACGGATCGAGATCAATCCGAGTTGGCTTGGGCATGCATCCTGTCCAAAACTGCCCTGACGACCTGACTGCATGTTCGACCGAGCTTCTGATTGCTACTGCTACTCACAGGGCGAGTCCGGATTCTCATGTTGCCAAGAACGAGGACACTCCACTCTCTTCCCGCCCGCACAGGTGCTCCTCTCACAGTTGACGCCGATGAGGGTTCGGAACTGCTGCGAGAAGTCCGCGAAGAGCTGGTCGGATCAAAGAAACGCATCAGCATCTTTTGGGGGAGCTCGTGGTATGCGTACTGAAGCTTGCAGTAAAGCTGTTGAGACGCCCTTTCGAGGTCTGCAGCTGAAGTTCTAGCCACCTTGTGGTAGATCACCCGAGGTGCGGCCAGTTTGTCCAAGTGCTCCTGACAGTTCAGGTTGGTTTGCAAAGCCGAGACGTCGGAAGACACCTGCTGAGCCTAAGACCACTACGTCTCAGACTTCAAAGGCAACTCTTGTGAAACACAGCAGCCCAAGAGAAATTCTGTCTGTGCTGGAGTAGCTGGCCATTATGAAGCTTATGAATGCTTGACACACGGTTGCCCAGGACATTCGCGTATCAACTGCCGCAGCGAATGGCTACAGTACATGTCCAGAGAATGCCGGGCAGCAACTTGCCACACAAGCCTCGACAAGCTTCAAGAAGTTCGTCCTTTCTACGGGGTGCCTGGCGGCAGAGCAAGATGTCATCGCAACAGCTTGGCATGTTCAAGCCGAAGTTGAGGCTTTCATGCTGCTGGCCACGGAACATGGCAGACCTACGCTGCTGCATTTAGATGTAATTACACACCTGCATACACACGCGCACATTTTCGACCCACATACGTGTTGTATATGCATATGTACATATACAAAACCAATTGCAAGTGTACACGCATGTTGATGACGAGCTCTGTCTGCTTGCCGTTGGCTTGTCGCTGCCACGTCCTCCGTCCTCGTATGCCTCCGAGGTCCCGGCCGGTTCAAGATCGACAAAATCTTTTGGTTCTCCACCTTCCGCGGTGCGGAGAAACGTCTCAGAATGTTCGCCAGCTAAGTGAAATTTGCCTGAAGTCAAAACTACTCGCTCGTCAGACTTATTCAGCCTGAATGTGAGCCGGTGGACTGACAGAACATCGTCTGCAAATGTGTGCAGAACGCGCGGGCTGAGTCTCGAGTGAAAGCCTTTCTTAAGCTCTGGCGCCAGGGTCGTCTATGCACAGTGTCCCTGCAGTGACTGGTGCTGCAGGAGACGTGTCGTTAACAGGCCAGGAAAGCTTTGCTGGCGCACAGTGTCACGGTGAAGATGACGACTGTTGGAGCAATGTTCGCTTTATCTGGCATATAGTTGAGCAAGCCCGTCATGCTTCACCGAGAGGCCTATCTTCAACCCGTGTCCAAGAGGACAAAACCGCAGATCTGGTTTGAGCATCAGCCACCAGGTGCAGCTCGCCGGGCGCTCGCTCGCCTGAGCTTTCGAGCTGCAGTAGTAGTGATCTACGCGAGCCGCCTTAGCAGCCACCACCTCCACGACCACGACCACGACCACGACCACGACCACGACCACGACCACGACCACGACCACAACAACAACAACAAGAAGAACAAGAACAGTACTGGCAGTCCTGGTCCTCGTCTTCGTCTTCGTCGTCGTGGTCGTCGTCGTCGTCGTCGTGGCCGTCGTCGTCGTTGTCGTTGTCGTCGTTGTCGTCGTTG